AGCAGTGGCAGCTCTGCTTCCTCTTTGATGGAGGGTTGAACAGATGTTTTTGTTAGAAACAGTAAATGTCGACACAGACGGTCAGTCGCTGTTTTCTGCGTCTGGTTGTGTTGCTCGTGCGTCACTGTTGGGTGTTTATACAACATGTTATTGTTGTGGAGGCTTTTCCGGGCACCGTGTTCTCCCACCATCAGGGCCGTGGAGGAATGCCAGGCATGTGGGTGACCCCAGACAGCCGTTGTCCTTGCTTAAAGAACCACGACTAATTTGAGTGGTGGTAGCCACACGAGCTGCTGGCAACAACGTGTTGATGAATAACCCTGATCACTGACGGAGGCTGCTGCCTCTGAGGGAAAGCTTCAGACTAGCGTACGATGTTAGGGCTGAAGCTGCTGGTTATTGTAGTGATCGATTATAAGTTTAACTGCACACATCTGTCAACAACAACCAAAGCCTCTGTTTGTATTTGCTTTGCAAACTAAAGTTTGATCTGTTTAAAGAAAACATCCTGTTAAATGCAAAAGTAAATAATCTCAGTCAAATAAAGTGAGCTCTGCATGGAGTCTAAGCAAACACACAGACTCCGTCAGACTGTCATCTGTGTTTTTGTGCGTGAGCATGTCTGTGAATGAGTGGGTCTGTGGGTCTGTGCCCACTCTGCTTAACATGGTTGGTGAGAGACGTGACGTGGACGTGTGGTGGTCACAATCAGAGCTTTTCCAGTTCTACTAAGGAAAGGAGCGTCGCTGCCTCCTTTAGCAGAGGATACTCTTTACTCTTTACCTGTGTGAGTGTAGAGGAGGCTGTGCTGTAATCATTTACAGCACCTGATGGCTCAACGTCACACTGCTGGGATAAAAGCCACCAATTGTTCAGTATCTAAGCTCCAGATCAGGATGAATATTAACCGATAAAGGTGCGTGCATCAGTCCTTTTTACTTCAGTACAGCTCAGTGTGATGATTGGAGGGAATTTTGCATCAGTCAGGGAGGAGGGGCGGAGCTACACGGGATCACAGCAAATACAAGAAGATCATTTTCTGTGATTCAGTGTTTGCTGTGTGAAATGATGGTGATGATGTGATGAATTAACAGTAAACAGCGTCTGCGTGCTGGCAGCTGTTTCTGTCTGTGAGCTGGTTCACGTCAGTAAACAGTCTGGACCAGCTGACCTGTCACGTGACCTTATCTACAGTCAGGTCTCGAGCAGCCCAGTTAATACGTACATGTTTTTCCAGCGGACAATCGTCAGTCCAATGAACGATGGTGACATGTTGGTGACATTTTGATGGGCGGAGCCTTGTAATCGTGCACAGACTGATTCGCACTTTCATAATTTACACGTTTTGTTTGGATATTTGACCTTGTTGTTTGTTTCAGTATTAATGCAGCTGCTGTTTGGATGATTCATTTATTTGAGGTGAAAGATTTTTTACTGTTTGCTGGATGAGACATTTAGATTTTTACTGACTTTGTGTTGAATTTTGTGCCTGTTGTTTGGTGGAAAAACAAAGCCAGTGTATCTTTGTTTCCCATCATTGTAGTTTTTAATTAAAATTCAATGTTTTGTTGTTTTCTGAACGCAGGCTGCTGCCGCTCGTTCTGCTCTGAGTTTCAGTAAATACAGCTCTATTATTTTTTGCATCGACTCGTTCTCTCAGCTTCCACCAACATTATTACCAACGCACTCATGGGCAGATAAATCGCTGGTGTAAGAGCGATGGGTGAAAGGCTCAGCCTGTCGTCGAAGGTCGATATATTCATCCAGCCTTAATCACTGTTCCTGTGCATGAACGTGCGCAGTGCCTGTTAGTTGTAATAGCACTTTGTGACATTCAGGTATTGATCGTACACACTTACATGTTACAGGTTACAGAGAGAAGCAGCTCGCTGTGTGCTTTCATGCTCTGTGGGCAGATGTTTGGCGTTGGAGGTGTTTCCCTCTGTGTTGTCATCAGTGTTCATCACACTCATCAGTTGATGTTGCTCTGTAAAATGCCATTTAAATCCACAGCAGCAGACGAGCACACAGAGACTTGATCAACACGGTGACTGTACTCTACAAACGGGTGAAGCTGCTCGTCTTGCTGAAGCTCCGGCTGCTGGACCGGAGTCTGCGTTCACTCAGCTTTAACAGCACTCTCGGTTCTTGGCTAGGTTAGCGTTAGCACGCTGTCCATGCTGAAGTTGTGTTAGCAGCATCGTGCACTCGTCTCTGTCCTGGAGCAGTCTCCACTTTACCATCGCGCTCGTCTTTTTTGTGCAACGTCCACGCCGTGGACTGCACCGCTGTTTCCCTCGTCCTCCGACACACGTACTGAAGTCAGCTGACCGCAGCGAGGGTGCGAG